AATAAACATGGTGCTGTTCCATTACCTTTCCCACAGCCAATCCTGAATTATACAAGTTTATGCAAGTCTGATTAGGAGACAATACCATCCATCATTCCCAATCGGAATGGCTCATCCTGATGTGCTCGGGCAGACTTTTACTGTCTGCAAGACTGACAGTTGGTTCCTCTTTTTTCTCTGCATCTGGCAAATCATTTTTATACAGCTGGGGAAAATGGCATTATATTGCAGGTTAAAACTCCAGCCCAGACAAGGGCTATTCTGGGGTAGCAGGAAGGTTAGAGATTGGAAAGAACAGGTCCTAAAATTGAGAGTAATGACAAGTCATCTTCCTCGTGCTGAGAAAGGAAGAGAAACCTTTCCGGTAATTTGAGGTGGCAAAAACCAAGTAAGAAATGCAATTGGGAAAGAAATACTTAAAAGTACACCCACCACCCCTTTTTACTTGGAAAAAATCCCCAACCCACCACCAGCAAGCCCACAACCCCCCTGGGAATTTCTGAGCTAGCCTCATGGTTCAGTATTTGAAGGGGAGTTGAAGAATCGAGATTAAAGAGCCTCAAAAGTGGTTACCTTGTGAAAATAATGGCTTTGTGTAATGTTCCTTGGAAGCACATGGAAAGGGCTGGTTGGTTGCTATATTTAGATTTCATCTTTTAAGCATTTGCTAATTATCCCAGCCAAGATGGACAAAGCTAATCAAATAGCTGTGTGGGAATGCTCCGAGTCTGAAACCTTCCTGCCAACAAAAGGAGGGCAAGTGAGAAGGGGGTGATTTGGTCTTTTCCCTTCTCATCTCTCTGTGTTTTGCCAGTACAGGACACCAGGGACTGTCAGTGGTTCAGTTATTACGTCTTAAAGAACATCACATTTGCACAGCTCTTCAGGGTGAAAGCACTTCCTTGGCCAAGTTTTTATCCTGAGCCCTGGTTCTTCACCAGCTGGATCACTTGCTATAGGTCTTTTGGGGCTGAATTCTTCCTGACTGCCTTTCCATTGGAGTTTGATTTTTCCATGACCTCAGGTTCCCTGAAAATCAGGGAAGATGCTTTTGTTTCCTGGGCCTGGAGTGGTGACTTCCAGTGTGTGATTTGGCATATTTGAGCTCAGAAAGCATGAGGAGTCTTGCTAAGGCACATCAACAGTAAATGGAAATGGGAGAATGGGCAAAGCTGTGGTAGCAGCGTAGGTGCTGCTGTAGTGTGCTCATTAGGATGGAGAGGTTTGGGGTGTCAGTGGAAAGCATTAAATACTTGTGTGATTTCCTGTAGTCTATGAAGGAACACAAGCATTTAGTGTTTGGCCCAGTATTTTAAAGGAGAGTGCTTATAAAGCTGATTTCCAAATGACAATATTTCCATAGATCGGAAAGAAAAGCCCTGGAAGCAGTTTTAACCTTGTTCTACACTGGGTTTGTGCAACCTGAACGCTGCAGTGTCAGGACCCTGCTAAGATGTAGTTGAAGACCCTGAAGCAGCAAAGAGCTTGGTGCAGGACAATGCCTTCAGTACCTGGCTCCGCATGGCTGCAGGGTGCAGCCCCTGTGACATACCTGGGGGCTTGTGAGTGATGTCTCTGTTGGGCTTGGCTGGAGCAATCACAAGCAAAGGTAATGGCCTGAATGATCAAAGTGGCAGGATTCAGTTTAGCTCCTTGCAGTTGATTTAACAGGTAATCATCTGGCCGGGAGCTGAAACTTCTGAAGGTAAAAACGCCCTCTCAGGTTATAGAAAAGAGCCAACCTGACAAGTTCCAGTATAAATTTGGCAGTCTCTGCTATAGATCAGCTGAAAGCCAGGGTGCGGCGAGTCTCAGGGCCAGCTAGATGATTGTCTATCAGATGGCACACTGGTAAGAACAAAATCTAAAATGATGGCTCTATTTCCATAATTTTGGTGGTTCTGGTGCCATTTTTCAGATCTAAACTGGCATAATGCTAATGCTGACGTATTGTGATCTCTCATGACGTCAACGACATAAAATACTGGCTTCTAACGTTGGCATCTCATCGCAAAGCTGACTTGAGCACCTCGCTGTGCAGTTTTGCACCTCTCGGCTCCATCCCCTTCTCTTTCAGCTTGGCATTCGGAACCTCTGTCAAAGCTTCTGAAAGCTCCATCTCAGTCCTGCATGCAGTATATAAATGTGGAGTCCCCACTTTTAGAAACTTGATGAATCTCTGTAGTGGTTTGGAAGTGGAACTGCTAAATTTGGGTTGAAAAGACAGCTGCAGAAAGCCAGAATGGGCAGAATGGTGCAGATGCTTTTGGCTTCTAAACTTTTCCCGTGGCTGCTTTTGGACCCATCATTAGAGGGAGGAAAGCTTAATCTTGGAAAATGGAAGGGTACCACGTTATGCATCCTGCCTCCCAAACACAGAGGGTTTAAAAGCAGTGAGCAAAATCCTGCTCACGTATAGGAAAGCTGTCAGTTTGATGCCGCAGAGCCTCATCCATCCCCTGCCTGATGATCAGCTCAGGGCAGAACAGAGAAGGGGAGTTTTAGACACTGCAGCCAGCACAGCCCAGGAAATCGTTTTGTAGTGGAACTTTTGCAGCACTGTGACAAATGCAGCTTACATGCTTCAATAGGCAAAGAATAAATGTATTAATTCAAAGTGCAAGAAAAGGTAATGGCCTAAATGATGAAAGTGACAGTGAGTCACTCCAGGGACTCTGCAGCAGCCTCACGCAGCTCCTCCTTGTGCCAGGAGACAGCAGGAGAGGAGGGAATTGCCCTGGTAGGATCTAAGTGGCTGTGGGAGGGAAACCTGGGGTAGTTTTTTGCCCATGATGGAGGTACCAGTGAGCTGGTCCCAAAGAGCCAGGGATGGGGCAGAGGGGCCTGCGTCTGGTGCAGGCTCTGCAGGAGGAACTTCAGCCCCGCTGGGATGGAGCGGTTAAAGCTGAGGGAAGGACATGGGTTTCATACTCAGCTTAAAATGAGGCTGATTCAGAATTGCAACACGAGGAGTTTCACGCAGCAGAGCAGAGCCATTTCCACATCCTGTCCATGTCCAGGCTGTCTGTGTGCCAGAAGGGTGGGTCCTCCTTCCTCAGCTCTGATTTAGAAGAGAAGTGAAGCGAATAGATTGCCTGGCTGTTTCCTGCCCGGGGCACGAGCCCTATCACTCACTGGGGGAAAGCTGTCATTATAGGAACACCATCTTCCCAGCAGTAAGCTTCAGGATCAAGCTCTGAGACATGCAAGCATTCACTCAGTACCATCAGAGGGAGTGCAGAGATGCCCTGTTAGGTTAATGAAGAATGAGAACTTCCCGCTCACAATAATGCTGCCACCAACCCCCCCCCCCCCAAACTCAAGTGAGATGATGGAGATGTGTTCGATGGATTCCATGGAGGTTTCTCCCCGCTCCCTGCCTGGCCATGGTTCAGTTTCTCGGGAGCAGAGCGCTCCAAGTGACTGATTGCTCCACGCTGGCTGTGTTTGCCCAACATTCCTTCTCTCGGTGGTGCCGGAGTCCGAACGTTTCCAATCGATTCAGCAAATGTTTATCCTCGTCCGTAGGAGCAGCTCTGGGAAACTTTGCTTTGGAAGGCTGATGTTTGGAAAGGGGAGGGGGGATGTGGTGGGGGGGCTCTCGGTGTGTGTGTGCTAGTGAAGGAGAGGAGGTTGCCAGAGGCTTGCGGTGTTGGGTTTGTGGAGCACTCGGCCGGAGGGAAGGGGAGTAAGAGCTGCAATGATGCTGGCAGTTTCAGACCAAAGAAGCCTACGTGTTCTGGTGCTGAAGCAGAGCAGTAAATGCTGTTGCAGGCACTAGACAGGGGCGCTCTGTAGAGGAATGATTTGGTTTAAACTGTCATTTTCTCTCAAATGTCTTGTTTGAGTGAAGCGTGTTCGAGGTCTCTTCTCTCTGTTGGCTGGCAGCGGAGAATCCTGTCAATGCTCGGAAGCAGCCTTCTCCCCTTGGTTAGCTTTCTGCCAGGGACTGAAGCAAAGAAGGTGCAGGTCACCGCCACTGCTCCTTGTCAGGCTGTGGGTATTCTAAAGGGCAGCTTTCTTTAAGGCGCTCCTTAGAAGCTGACAACCCCAGGCCCTCCTGCTGAGCACAGGGTACTTGGAGGTTTAAGTTTTCCTACCAGCTGGAGCCAAAGGGGCAGGAGGACAGAAAAAGCTGTGCTGGGCTCTGGGGCTGTGTGTGTTGGAACCTGCACAAAGACACTGCCTTGCGGTCCTCAGGCAAAGGTCAGTGGGCTGAGCCCGGGCAGGACAGTGCAGATGTCCCAAAAGGAATTGTTGGAGTTGGAAGGGGTTTCTCAGAAATCACCCAGCCCATCTCAGGATTCGCTTAAGGAAGCACGTTTGAGTTTCATAGGAAGACACCAAAATGTCCTGGGTCTCCCCTTTCTCCTTTATGAGCGGACTCGGTTAATTCATAGAAAACTTCAGTGCAGTCCTTAAACAAAGACCAATTTCTCCTTTGCTCACCACTGTGTTAAGTGCATCCTGTTCCTTCGTGGGCCTGCATGTGGGAGTGCTTTTGCAGTTTGATCAAGTTTTATTTGCGCTATGATAAAGAAATGGGAAAACCAAGAAGGGAACATCCCTGTAATCGGGGATGCCTCAGCTTTGGGTTTTTAGCCCATTTTAATCCCCATCCTGTGTAACCTGCTGGAGGTGGCCCTGCCTTGGCAGGGGGGTCGGACTCGATGATCTCCAGAGGTCCCTTCCAACCCCAGTGGTTCTGTGGTTCTGAAATACTGCTGCTCCATGGAAAAGGTCAGGACTTCTGAGATGGAGACATCTTCCCATCGTGCTGGGAATTGGGGTAGTGCAGGAATGTGCCGGTCCCAAGTTCTACCCAGGATGAGTCTGAGACTCCAGCAAACCGCTGAGTGCAGCGCTGTGCTGTGTTCGGTGCCAGCGGAGGTTTTATAACGGGTTGGTTGTTGGGTTCAGCAGTGAATGGGAAACCCCTGCTCCTTCCCGGGACGCTCGCGGTTCTGTTAAGCACTTCCACTCAATTTTTCTTTCTGCAGATGATGAAATTCGCTTGGGATAACTACAAACTCTATGCACTTGGGAAAAACGAACTGCGACCGCTGACCAAGAACGGCCACATCGGGAACATGTTTGGTGAGTCTTGGAGCAGGGTGGGTGCAGTTGCTTTGGGGTTTTTGAAGGGCACACATCCATGTCCGTTCCTGTCTCTGCAGTGCACTGAGGTACCTGTGGTGGCCTTGATTTCTTTCCTCTTTCTGTTTTTATGACACTTCCAATACAACTCCTAGGGGTTACCTGCCCGCATCCCATCGCCGGGAATCTCATTCCTACAAACATCCCTCAATGCCCAGCCTGTATCACCTGTGTACAGACCTAGCACCAAGCATGTCTGAGAACAGTGCTAAAACCAACCAGTGTCTTTATTCAAACATGAAGGCAGTCCAAACCTGGCGATGCTGCTGTTTCTCTGATCAGATGGACAGCAGGACATGACCAAACTGAGCATTTTCTCTCTTGTTGCTCCACTGTTGAGCAAGATGTGAATCCCATAAAATATTGAATGTCTGAATCAATAGTAAAGGCTCTTTATACCATGTGCTTACTGGGCTGTATAGTTGTACTCTTTAGCAGATTACCTCTCATTGTATGAGCCACTTGCATCATTTCAGTGCCATCCCCTGCCTGTTCCAGTGGGATACTTGTTGACCTTGGAGGATATAAGTTGCTTCTTTCCTCATTTGCACTCAGAGCTTTTCCCTGCTCTGCTCACTGTGCCCTACCTTGCAGCTTTGGGGAGCTGCAAAGGTACATGTGGGAATGAATGTTTGCAGGTGGAAATAGCATCCCAGGTCTGCTAGAATGGCCAAAACCTTGAGGAGCAGCAGTCCAGTTTGGCCTCTGGACTGCAAGGGCAGGTGGCCCTGCTGGAGATGCTAGAGGAAGGGCTGGCTTTTAGTTTAGCCACAGCACAGAGAGAAACCTTGGTGCTCTGCTTGTGCCGCCACCACCAAGTCCTTTTGTTGTTCCAGGTGAGGCACTTGGCTCTTTAGTTCCTGCAGAAGTACCAAGAGCGTTAAGTCACATCTGGCTGTGCAATGCTGCGTGTTGTGTGGAAGCCACGTTGCCAGTTGCTGAGTTCTGGACGTGTGCCTTGTACTGCCAGCACAGGCTCTGTGTGACCAGCCCCTGCTCTGGTCCACACTCACTCGGTCAGGAGCAGTGGTTTGGGTTTGTTTGCCCTTTGCCTTCCCCTTTCAACACCCCAGGAGCAGCAGGTTTCTTACTTGTGAATGAATTTGCAGTCACTTCAGCAGGATTTAAGCGTTTTGTGACTTTTCAATTCTGGCAAACTTGTCAAAATTCCTCAAGGAACGTGCTATAAACAGGCAAAAGTATTGAAAGCTTTTAAATGCAATTATCATGCTGAAACAATTGGCAGTACTTCCGTTTGTTTGCAGCGTGCGGGTGAGCACTCTCAAGGAAAATGCTTGGGAGCACAAGGATTTGCAGGCAGTTGCAGAAAAGAAGCTACGTGGTACATTTCAGACTCCTGATGGGCTTTTCCTCCTTGTAGCTGTGGCTGGGAAGGAATGGGAGCATTAGGCAATCCATTCCTGCAGCCCTGTCCCTCTTGTCTTCAGAGACGTCTAGAAAGGAGGACAGGGCACTACTTGCCTTCTTCATTGTTGCCTCTTCCCCCTCCTGTCACATCGTGCATCTTTGATTCCAGACTGGATGTAACGGAGGCAAATTGGTGCTCTCTGGGCTGGAGGTGTCAATATTAAGCAGAGATTTCTCTGCAGCTGCTTCCATGTGGCAGGGGAGGAACTTTTCACAGTGTTTGTGTGCACGAGAAGCAGTTGAGCTCTTGAAGGGTGATGCGTTTTCCTGTTGTGGATGCGATGCTCCCGTGGAGGCCAGCCTGGGGGAAGGGGGGAGATGGTCTTTATCAAATATTCTCTCTAATCGAAGTAGAAATACAAAATAAACACTCACCTTCTGCTCCTTCATAGCATTCTGCTGCTCTTAACAGCCCCGAGCCAGCATCCCTCCCCTGCATCTGCCCAGGTGGCAGGAAAGTCACAGGCAGAAACCTCTCGTATCTCCACCCAAGTTCATCTCCTTTCTCCTCTGCCTTGGAAGGCAGCAGCTCACATCTGGGAGGGTATCTGTGCAGTTTCCATGCTGCTTCATAGCTGGAGATCAGAACTGCCCACTACCCAAGTAAGTGCAGGGCTGCTCTGTACAGGAGGGCCGCGTTCCCACTCACTTGGACTTCGATCTGGTGACTTGGTCTTAACTTTCTTCCTTGTCATTGGTGCCCTCCAGGCTCTATTGCTAGGGCATCAATTTCATCAAGATTCTCCCATGTTCTCATGTGGCTTATTTGTACAGAAGTCTTCTGATTGCTGTAATTCACAATCATTGCAACCTGAAAGCCCTTTCATTAAACCCACTAGCTGTGGTCCTTTGAGAAGCTTTATTTATTCATGTGTGATGCTTGGGATAAGATGCACCGTGCTAAACATCCCATTCCATGCCCTCCAGTGGGGTAAATATGTTTTATACTTGCAGCCGTTTCAGATGTGTGATGATTTCCCTGGAAATTACACCATGGAAGTGGGCAGAGCACACTAGTAGGGTGGAAGGATGATCTCTGTTAGTATAAAAGCTGCACCACAAGATTCCAGTCGGAATGGCTGCACGACTGTGGGGTTTTCAGGATGATCTGCAGCACTTCTCTCCACACTGCAGCACTCTCAAGGAAGACCTGCAGAGTATCTGGCCACTGTTAGAATCAGGCTTGTTTAAAGTTAAATGGTGTAGCTGGGCCATGGGTAAGGGTGAAGGCTGGAGATGCACAGGCGTGGATTCTGCTCCCAGTTATTTTACCCTTCCTACCCCAGCATCTCACCATTCCTGTCTTTGGTGCTGTGAACATTAAGATCATAGAATGGTTTGGGTTGGGAAGGACCTTAAGATCATCCAATTCCAGCCCCCTGCCATGGACAGGGACATCTCACACTAGATTGTGTTGAATTCCTTGGAGTGAGGCTGCTGGAGAGATGCTTCAAGATGCTCCTGTCCTGTGGTACCCAGCATTAGGTGGCTGTATTCTCATCTGCCTGCTCCCTGCGCCTGTCAGAACCACTTATTTTTCTGACAAAATGGTTTTAAACTCCTGTTAGCTTTACAGAGTTTCTCTGGCTATGGGAGAGTGAGCTGGCATCTATTTCTGCTCGTGCATCAACTGAACTGTCAGCTACATTTGGATTGCAGAGTCTTTTAACAAAGATAAGGTAAGAAGCCTGATTTTCAGATATGTCTTGAAGTGTGCAGTGCTGGCAGCAGAAGAATCCTGCTTTGACTTTTAACCTGAGCCAATTTGCTCTGAAATCAGTGACAGCAAGTAAATATGGAACCTTGCTGTGCTGTTAGTCATTTTCACCACCGAACTACACATTAGTGTATTAATGTTCGTATAAAAATAGCAATCCTTAACTAGGTTCCCCCCCCCCCCTTTTTCCCCTCTCTTCACTTGAAATCATACTTAAAATCATGCCATTGCTTTTCTCAGCGTATGCTGGGTTTGTGCATCGTTGTGAGGCTCTGTAGCTTTATTTGATGTGAATCCATGTCGCAACCGTCACATCTAGGACACAGCCGGGTCAGCAGGCCCGGGTGGTGAAGAGCTATCAGCAGCTGGAGCTAAAAGACGTAACGTGTTTAGGCTGCATCCCGATGTTGTCCCACGTTTGACTGCGTGGTGACGGAGCGCTATCTGCGCAGGATGGATAACAGTTCCTGGAAGAAGCAGTGCTCAGGCAGTGTTTGTGTACTCGGCTCAGCCCTTGGCCTGAGCTGTCCTGACAGTTTGTTTTGCGCACAAGAGGTCGTTGCTCTCGGTTGCCAGGAAATCCTTTGCTATTTTGGCTCTCCAGGATAGGGAAAGGGTTTGAAGCGCTGGGGAGGAAAAGCAGTGACCACATGGGTATGGCCAGAGAGGCCTCTAGAACGTACCAAGGTGATCCTGGCGTTCAGAAACCTTCAGGTGTTTTTCCCCTGGCAAATGCAGGGCGATCCCACCGCGCTTCCCCTGCTCTGTGACGCTGGGAGCATCCCAGCCTCTGCTCTGGACGGAGGTTCAGGTGACATCTCCCTGCAGGACCTGCCACACCAAGCTCCTTTCAGCAGGTAGAGAGCTCTTTGCCAGCCACTCCAGTGCTGGACCCAGTTGGACACAAAAGGCTCCGCATCGCAGAGTTGGTCCCTTCAAGCAGCCAGTTCTGCCTCGTGCGTTTTCCAGATGGCTGCTTCCTTCCTCAGTGGTTTAGCTCAGAAGCCATGAAGCAGGCAGGGAATGTGCCCACCTCAACTAGAAGCAACAGGAGTTGATGTATGAATATTTAACATGGGAAACGTGATTGCATGAAAATATTAATTTAGCCATATCCACCCTACCAGAGGAGAAATGGTAACCTCCAATTGTGCCATCATTTGGTGCAACTTTTCTGCCCTGCCTGTGAGGCTCTTTCCCTGTGATCACAAAATTACAAACCCCTGGAGTGTCCTTTTATCTGATTCAAATAATAATAACAATAATACTAATTGCTCTCTGAATTTGTATGCTGAATTATTCCTGCTGCACATGACACTGGATGGTTGGCTCCATGGGCTCTTTAAAGAGAAAAACATATTGTAAGGAAGGTGTTGCCAGAGCACTGTTGCTCCCTGACTTCATCATCCTTCTTTCTATGCATAATGTTACTCAGTTGAATCTTACTTTCAGGAAGGGCATTTTGAGTTGACGTTGGCTTTTACTGTCACTGAAATCTGCAGCAGTAAACTTATTTCCTGTCAGCAGGAAGCAGTGAATCAGGATATCCTCCCAGTACCAAACTGTTGGAGATTGGTTGCATGAATCATGGTAGAGCTGACATTTATGCCTGTCATGTGTTTCTTTTCCCTGCTTTCTACCTGCCAAAGATCACTCCTTCCAGGCACCAGGGTTGTCATAGGAGATGTGTTCAACTCTGCTCTCACCTTGGGTCATGCTGAAAATGGTGGCTTCCTTCAAACGTGCTGTTTCAAGCATGAGCTCAAACATGAGGGTTTTGAGCCCTAAATTCATG